AGCACTGTCTCAGGGTACTTTTCCAAATGAAACTATTTGGTGATACTCTTTTTCCAGCATTTGACTATTAAGCTGGTCAATAAAAACAAAACTGCTCCGAGATCTAAACATGTTTCCAGCAGTTTCATGTGCTTGATCCAATTGCACTTGTACATATAGCAGCACAGAGTTTAGAAGCCATTGTATTTAAGTCCAGGTAAGATTTGAAAAGTTAAATGTTTAGAAGCCATAGCAGAAAGTTGGATGCTCTCCTAAAAGAGCTGTGCAGTTTATTGAATAATAGACCTAGGGCCAAGGTTCCAGACTAGTTGTCTTCTATTCAGGATTATTGTTGAGTATTAGTACATTCCAGGATAGGTGAAAGTTGGGCAGTATATCTTTTGTTTCTGTTATAATGTGATGTCATTTCCTTACCTCCTTCTGGCAGATGGTTTTGGGCTGCTGCTGCTGCCCAACTGTGGTTGAATACCTTCATCCTGAGGAGGTAGGCCGTGTTGCCTGCGTTCTGTCTTCTGTTTCGTTTGGCAGAGTTCTCTCTTGATGATCCCATTCTTCTTCATATAGTTGCTCCATGATCACTATACTCCAGGGTTCACTTTCTGTTAACTGAGTTCACAAACTTTCCCATTTTAGATCTAGAATCATAGATCTGGAGACTCATTTAGGCAATCCCTGGCTCAGTGCATCTAAAGATTATCTAAGGAGCCTTCTTAAATATGTTTCTGAAGTGACTAGATTCAAAACAAAGTAAGATGTATGTAAATCCAAGTCTTGAATTTCTTGAGCTATTGCATTATATCTAATGGATATTAAATGTTATGTATGGATTTGAACTGTTTACCCAAGAAATGACTACAGGTAGTTCTAACATTCCTTAGAAGATATCCATATACAAGAGTCATAAAGTACTAAGAAACTTTACAGCACTCTTGTTTCTTCAGTATTCAGAATATTCAGAAAATGGATGTTGCTGCATGTCCTCATAAGCCTAATCTTTTTTTTATTTGGGGGAGGGGGTGCCTTCAAGTCCTTCTTGACTCCTGGTGACTGCCTGAACAAGTCCATGCAGCTTTCTTGGCAAGATTTCAGAAGTGGTTTGCCATTGCCTGCTTCCTAGGGCTGAGAGTGAGT